CAAGTGTTCTAGAAACTAGATTACATACACCCCAAGCTACACCTTTGCATGTGACACGACCGCCTCCGTGGTCTAATGGTAGAGCGTCCGCCCGGAGAGCGGAAGGTCCGGGGTTCGATCCCCAGCCGCGTCATACCAAAAGACGTTAAAAGATGGTACTTGTTGTTACCCTGTCTGGCGCTTGGTATTGAGGGGCTAAAACAAGGACTGGTCGGCTCGGAGTCAGTATACTTTGTCTGAGTGGGGTATCCATGTTAAACTGCGGTATGGTATTTCAGTGTGCTAGCACTATAAATTGGCATCAGTCCGGACTTGTACAAGCAGCCACACACACACATATGCACGTCGCTATATAAGTGCAATAATCTTGGATGCGACGTTAAACCCCATTTCACCTCACCTCACCTTGCATGTGACACCACCTATACTTGTAGACAGTGTTTGGAACAAGGTAACAGTGTTAAGAGCTTGAGGAAATACATGTGCGCACTGGCTGATGGATGTGTTTGCCGTCATTAATATTTATCTTAATAATTAGATGGATTGTGTAGATAACATATTTCATAACTAGAATGTGGAAACATTCACATAAACATTAGATAAAATATGACTCCAGTGTGACTCTTATCTTGCTGACCAAGCTCAGTGACTTCTGATAGTGTGTCATCGTACCCCAACAAGATGGGACGTTAATCAGGCCGACAGCCACTGCATTTTTGACAGGCTGACATGATATGGCTAGAATACCGCTGACTGATGTAGAACACATGCTGTAGAGCAGTATACATCATCACTTTTATTCAGTATCTGAAGAGCTCTCTAGAAGGCTAGAATACATGAATTTGTAGATAATCATCCATTATGTAATAGAAACAGAAAAGGAACGCATTAGAAAGAAAATAATTACCGAATTGGCCATTTAGTTCAGTGTACAGGGAAATGAGTTTGACGATAATAAATGACAGATCAGGTGAAGTGAGTCTGTATTAGAGGGAGAAGAGATTAGAGGATAATTTAATCATTAACTGGACAACTTCCAGTGGTTATGATCAAACTGCTGTGTGTTTTAGCATTTGATTGTTGCAGCAAATACTGCAAGACTGCACCTGTGTTAAACAGAAATCATTCAGGAGTGAATGTGCACCAACAATACGGACCATCTGAGGTCTTTTATTATATCATTAATTGCAACACGTCATTGAGTGTGATACACTGTACTGAGGCCGCAGCCTACGCTGGAGATGGTGGCTGAGGTTGCATGTTGGCCAGGAGTCTGTCACCAGCGTCGAGAGCGAGCATCCTTTCTCTCTTGCAAGCTGTAATCTATAGTAACAAGAAGCTACCTCTTCAGGAAATAGGAAATTTTAAGAAACACATTTAATACACTCACAGGAAATTGGAAATGCTTTTTCATTCAAAACAAGAAACCTCATTTGACTTGGCTAACCAACTAAATCTGAGAGGGCATTCTTCATCCTCTGCTTCAGCTGGGATTTTACTCGACTGTGACATGCAATACGCACATATATTACCTGATATGTGGGGCTTTGTTTGACACGCTGTGCGATTGGTCTCCTTTGTCCTGAACACTAATAACACTGCTAGGTGGAGACTGCCGCTGGCATGGGGTGGCGTAGAGCAACATTATAACATCCTTCTTTGCTGGAGTTGATGCTGGTTGATGAGATTAGGGAAGTTATTGTATGGGTGCTTCATTCACATATTTGTCTGTTATATAAGATAGCTGAGTGATAAATCGCAAAGAAAAAGAAGAACGAAGAGTGGTTTATTTCACGATAAAAGGTTGTATCATGACGTAATTTCTGGAGATTCGAACATGCACTCGTAACTTGATGACGTAATTTGGAACGATGTTATTTTTTGGAGGGAGGTGTCTAGGGAGTTGTTCCTCGTAGATGTAGCTGGGTAACGTAGATATTCGGCTGAGCCGAACGATCACATCCAAAAGTGAGAGAGATATGACAATTGGTATTGGGAGAAAAGGTACAGGTAATCGATGTGAGGATTGTGAGAATATGTGGGAAATACCGACCTGTGCATAAAATGGATTTGTCCGACATTGCCAAGGTCGAGTTCTATTCAGGGAGTCATCATTATTAAAATACGGGTAAATATTTTTAAAGCTTGTACATTTTATTAGCATCCTTAAAGATGCCGTACATATGTTGATATCTCACATAAGAAAAAATCGACTCATGTGTCCCTCATGGCTTATTCTCCATGCAGTGTTTTATTGTACGATGAACAACTCCGTCTCATCGTTTATTTCTTAAATAGGTACCATACATTGATGTAATTGGTATCCTGATTTAACAAGGACACAAGCAGACAAGATGCTCCATCCATTACAAACACACTTTCAGTCCAGACCGGTAAAGAAATGCTATCAATCTTTTTCAGTACTGACTGACTTTATGCAAATACTTTATGGTAATCATTGGCCCAGTTGTCTAAGGCGCCGCAATTTGGTGTGCAGAGTCGCGCCAGAAGCCTGTGATCGTGGGTTCGAATCCCAGGTTCACCCTGATTATGTTTGTAGGTTTGTCAACACCAATACCTGTGCTCGTAGATTTTTATCAAAGTGGTAAACATTCAAGATATGCATCACTTCGGGTTTTCCTCCCACAAGCTGAAGAAGTGATGTAACTGGAATACTGTTCAACCCAACTTACCCGCTCACTCCAGTAATCAAAAGTTATTAATGTAAAAAATCATTACTGGAGGACTCGCACTATATTTTAGATGCAAAATTTAATGAGGATAATGATTAACCTGGAATTTTTAATGAGTCTTAACAAGAATTCATGCTCCACAATCTGATGTACATTTCCAGTGTAGAAGTTTTAAAGTTGTAATTAGTGGCTGGTGTAAGGATAAGGCATCTGTATGTAATTTGGGTGATTGCTGAATTTCACAGATGGCCAGTCAAGGATTATGGTCCTATGTCTGTCAGCATCCGTCCTGTGCTTAATGTTTAGCTCGCTCGCTCACTCACTCACTCACTCACTCACTCACTCACTCACTCACTCACTCAGATGTAGTAATAGTCGGTGACATTCTAGTTTCATAAACCACATTGGAGATATACATAACTTAGCAACTACACGTATACATGTATGCAATGATGTACTGTACCCTCAGATTTGTCACTCAGTATACCAATGTTACTACGTTGACCATAAGGTGAGACCTCTGTGTTTGCAGGAGCACGCCCCACTCACACAGTATACTAATGTTACTACGTTGACCATAAGGTGAGACCTCTGTGTTTGCAGGAGCACGCCCCACTCACACAGTATACCAATGTTACTACGTTGACCATAAGGTGAGACCTCTGTGTTTGCAGGAGCACGCCCCACTCACACAGTATACTAATGTTACTACGTTGACCATAAGGTGAGACCTCTGTGTTTGCAGGAGCACGCCCCACTCACACAGTATACCAATGTTACTACGTTGACCATAAGGTGAGACCTCTGTGTTTGCAGGAGCACGCCCCACTCACACAGTATACCAATGTTACTACGTTGACCATAAGGTGAGACCTCTGTGTTTGCAGGAGCACGCCCCACTCACACAGTATACTAATGTTACTACGTTGACCATAAGGTGAGACCTCTGTGTTTGCAGGAGCACGCCCCACTCACACAGTATACTAATGTTACTACGTTGACCATAAGGTGAGACCTCTGTGTTTGCAGGAGCACGCCCCACTCACACAGTATACTAATGTTACTACGTTGACCATAAGGTGAGACCTCTGTGTTTGCAGGAGCACGCCCCACTCACACAGTATACTAATGTTACTACGTTGACCATAAGGTGAGACCTCTGTGTTTGCAGGAGCACGCCCCACTCACACAGTATACTAATGTTACTACGTTGACCATAAGGTGAGACCTCTGTGTTTGCAGGAGCACGCCCCACTCACTCAGTATACTAATGTTACTACGTTGACCATAAGGTGAGACCTCTGTGTTTGCAGGAGCACGCCCCACTCACACAGTATACCAATGTTACTACGTTGACCATAAGGTGAGACCTCTGTGTTTGCAGGAGCACGCCCCACTCACACAGTATACCAATGTTACTACGTTGACCATAAGGTGAGACCTCTGTGTTTGCAGGAGCACGCCCCACTCACACAGTATACCAATGTTACTACGTTGACCATAAGGTGAGACCTCTGTGTTTGCAGGAGCACGCCCCACTCACACAGTATACCAATGTTACTACGTTGACCATAAGGTGAGACCTCTGTGTTTGCAGGAGCACGCCCCACTCACACAGTATACTAATGTTACTACGTTGACTATAAGGTGAGACCTCTGTGTTTGCAGGAGCACGCCCCACTCACGTAGTATACTAATGTTACTACGTTGACCATAAGGTGAGACCTCTGTGTTTGCAGGAGCACGCCCCACTCACACAGTATACCAATGTTACTACGTTGACCATAAGGTGAGACCTCTGTGTTTGCAGGAGCACGCCCCACTCACACAGTATACTAATGTTACTACGTTGACTATAAGGTGAGACCTCTGTGTTTGCAGGAGCACGCCCCACTCACACAGTATACTAATGTTACTACGTTGACTATAAGGTGAGACCTCTGTGTTTGCAGGAGCACGCCCCACTCACACAGTATACCAATGTTACTACGTTGACCATAAGGTGAGACCTCTGTGTTTGCAGGAGCACGCCCCAGTCACTCAGTATACTAATGTTACTACGTTGACTATAAGGTGAGACCTCTGTGTTTGCAGGAGCACGCCCCACTCACACAGTATACTAATGTTACTACGTTGACCATAAGGTGAGACCTCTGTGTTTGCAGGAGCACGCCCCACTCACACAGTATACCAATGTTACTACGTTGACCATAAGGTGAGACCTCTGTGTTTGCAGGAGCACGCCCCACTCACACAGTATACTAATGTTACTACGTTGACTATAAGGTGAGACCTCTGTGTTTGCAGGAGCACGCCCCAGCTACCAAGTCCAGCCCCTACCCCAAGCTGCCCAGTAAGCGGAGCAAGTCCCTGGAGAAGGACGTACCAACACTGCCTGACTACACTGAGGCCAGGGAGGTCCTGAGACAGATCCAGAAGGACCGGTCAGTCCTACAGGCCAACCTGGACCAAGTGATGCGGTCTCGACATGACACCAAGGCATACAGTGTCCTAGAGACTCTGTCACAGGACAGGTGAGTCAGCCTAAAGCATCCTAGACTCTATCACTGGTGAGTTGGCCTACATTGTCCTAGACTCTATTACTGGTGAGTTGGCCTACAGTGTCCTAGACTCTATCACTGGTGAGTTCGCCTACAGTGTCCTAGACTCTATTACTGGTGAGTTGGCCTACAGTGTCCTAGACTCCATCACAGGACAGTAGAGTTGGCCTACAGTGTCCTAGACTCCATCACAGGACAGTAGAGTTGGCCTACAGTGTCCTAGACTCCATCACAGGACAGTAGAGTTGGCCTACAGTGTCCTAGACTCCATCACAGGACAGGTGAGTTAACCAACAGTGTCCTAGACTCCATCACAGGACAGTAGAGTTGGCCTACAGTGTCCTAGACTCCATCACAGGACAGGTGAGTTAACCAACAGTGTCCTAGACTCCATCACAGTACAGGTGAGTTGGCCTACAGTGTACTGGACTCCATCACAGGACAGGTGAGTTGGCCTACAGTGTCCTAGACTCCATCACTGGTGAGTTGGCCTACAGTGTCCTAGACTCCATCACAGGACAGGTGAGTTGGCCTAAAGCATCCTAGACTCCATCACAGGACAGGTGAGTTGGCCTACAGTGTCCTAGACTCCATCACAGGACAGTAGAGTTGGCCTAAAGTGTCCTAGACTCCATCACTGGTGAGTTGGCCTACTGTGACCTAGACTCCATCACAGGACAGGTGAGTTGGCCTACTGTGACCTAGACTCCATCACAGGACAGGTGAGTTGGCCTACAGTGACCTAGACTCCATCACAGGACAGGTGAGTTAGCCTACAGTGACCTAGACTCCATCACAGGACAGGTGAGTTGGCCTACAGTGTCCTAGACTCCATCACAGGACAGGTGAGTTGGCCTACAGTGACCTAGACTCCATCACAGGACAGGTGAGTTGGCCTACAGTGACCTATACTCCATCACAGGACAGTAGAGTTGGCCTACAGTGTCCTAGACTCCATCACAGGACAGGTGAGTTGGCCTACAGTGTCCTAGACTCCATCACAGGACATTAGAGTTGGCCTACAGTGTCCTAAACTTTAACACAGGACTGGTGAGTTAACCAACAGTGTCCTAGGCTCCATCACAGGACAGGTGAGTTGGCCCACAGTGTCCTAGAGTTCAGTCCCATGTGATCACAGATTCGGTAAGAGGGTCTTAACATGACACCAAGTCCTACAGTGACCTACAGGTCGGTCCCATGTGATCACAGATTAGGAAAGAGGGTCTTAACATGACGCCAAGGCCTACAGTGACCTACAGGTCGGTCCCATGTGATCACAGATTAGGTAAGAGGGTCTTAACATGACACCAAGGCCTACAGTGACCTACAGGTTGGTCCCATGTGATCACAGATTAGGAAAGAGGGTCTTAACATGACGCCAAGGCCTACAGTGACCTACAGGTCGGTCCCATGTGATCACAGATTAGGTAAGAGGGTCTTAACATGATGCCAAGGTCTACAGTGACCTACAGGTTGGTCCCATGTGATCACAGATTAGGTAAGAGGGTCTTAACATGATGCCAAGGTCTACAGTGACCTACAGGCCAGTCCCATGTGATCACAGATTAGGTAAGAGGGTCTTAACATGATGCCAAGGTCTACAGTGACCTAGAGGTCAGTCCCATGTGATCACAGATTAGGTAAGAGGGTCTTAACATGATGCCAAGGTCTACAGTGACCTAGAGGTCAGTCCCATGTGATCACAGATTAGGAAAGAGGGTCTTAACATGACGCCAAGGCCTACAGTGACCTACAGGTCGGTCCCATGTGATCACAGATTAGGTTAGAGGGTCTTAACATGATGCCAAGGTCTACAGTGACCTACAGGTTGGTCCCATGTGATCACAGATTAGGTAAGAGGGTCTTAACATGATGCCAAGGTCTACAGTGACCTACAGGCCAGTCCCATGTGATCACAGATTAGGTAAGAGGGTCTTAACATGATGCCAAGGTCTACAGTGACCTAGAGGTCAGTCCCATGTGATCACAGATTAGGAAAGAGGGTCTTAACATGACGCCAAGGCCTACAGTGACCTACAGGTCGGTCCCATGTGATCACAGATTAGGTAAGAGGGTCTTAACATGATGCCAAGGTCTACAGTGACCTAGAGGTCAGTCCCATGTGATCACAGATTAGGTAAGAGGGTCTTAACATGATGCCAAGGTCTACAGTGACCTACAGGTTGGTCCCATGTGATCACAGATTAGGTAAGAGGGTCTTAACATGATGCCAAGGTCTACAGTGACCTAGAGGTCAGTCCCATGTGATCACAGATTAGGTAAGAGGGTCTTAACATGATGCCAAGGTCTACAGTGACCTACAGGTTGGTCCCATGTGATCACAGATTAGGTAAGAGGGTCTTAACATGATGCCAAGGTCAACAGTGACCTAGAGGTCAGTCCCATGTGATCACAGATTAGGTAAGAGGGTCTTAACATGATGCCAAGGTCTACAGTGACCTACAGGTTGGTCCCATGTGATCACAGATTAGGTAAGAGGGTCTTAACATGATGCCAAGGTCTACAGTGACCTACAGGCCAGTCCCATGTGATCACAGATTAGGTAAGAGGGTCTTAACATGATGCCAAGGTCTACAGTGACCTAGAGGTCAGTCCCATGTGATCACAGATTAGGAAAGAGGGTCTTAACATGATGCCAAGGTCTACAGTGACCTACAGGCCAGTCCCATGTGATCACAGATTAGGTAAGAGGGCCTTAACTTGATGCCAAGGTCTACAGTGACCTAGAGGTCAGTCCCATGTGATCACAGATTAGGTAAGAGGGTCTTAACATGATGCCAAGGTCTACAGTGACCTACAGGTTGGTCCCATGTGATCACAGATTGGGTAAGAGGGTCTTAACATGATGCCAAGGTCTACAGTGACCTAGAGGTCAGTCCCATGTGATCACAGATTAGGTAATAGGGTCTTAACATGACGCCAAGGCCTACAGTGACCTACAGGTTAGTCCCATGTGATCACAGATTAGGTAAGAGGGTCTTAACATGATGCCAAGGTCTACAGTGACCTACAGGCCAGTCCCATGTGATCACAGATTAGGTTAGAGGGTCTTAACATGATGCCAAGGTCTACAGTGACCTAGAGGTCAGTCCCATGTGATCACAGATTAGGTAAGAGGGTCTTAACATGATGCCAAGGTCTACAGTGACCTAGAGGTCAGTCCCATGTGATCACAGATTAGGTAAGAGGGTCTTAACATGACGCCAAGGCCTACAGTGACCTACAGGTTGGTCCCATGTGATCACAGATTAGGTAAGAGGGTCTTAACATGACACCAAGGCCTACAGTGACCTACAGGTTGGTCCCATGTGATCACAGATTAGGTAAGAGGGTCTTAACATGATGCCAAGGTCTACAGTGACCTAGAGGTCAGTCCCATGTGATCACAGATTAGGTAAGAGGGTCTTAACATGACGCCAAGGTCTACAGTGTCCTAGAGGTCAGTCCCATGTGATCTTAGATAAGGTAAGAGGGTCTTAACATGATGCCAAGGCTTCAGTGTCCTTATGAGTGCATTATATGAACTACTATTGTAGATGTTCCAGTTTTAAGGTAAGTAGTAATCATCTTTTGGGGGGATACTGTTTGGCCAGACATTTTTCATTCTCAGGCGTTGATGTTTCCACGGAAACGCCTAAAAATGTCCTATTCAGATCCTTCAGCAGCAATTTTTTCAAAAATAATTTTACCAACCTGTACGGGGCAATCTAGGGGCATTGGCTGATGTAAAATTATACTTCTGTTATTTAATGAGTTACTTGTATATACATGTATGTTTCAACACGTACTGACCATGAGACCACTGTGTGTTGCAGCACTGTGAAGGAGCGTGCTCGTATCATGCACGTCGTGGACGGCTGTATTTCGTCTCTACAGAAGGAGATTGACGTGAGTTAAACTCTACAGAAAAACATCCCCAGCTCACATTGATGAGTAAAGATCCATCCAGTTTCACAATCATAACTCAGTTACACGTTTCATGTTGGAGGCGTTCTGAAAATCTTGGTACTTTATTCAAGCTCAGGTATGTTAGTTTTAGGCCTAACGTTAATGTTTTCTATACTACTGAAAAAAAGTTCAGGATTCCCTGCTTCTTTCATGTTACTAGAGTTCATCTGTCTGTGTTAGGGCTGGGACGGGTAACTCGAGTACTCGGGTTGGGTGGCTAGTGATTAAGACCCTTGTACCCACAGGACTACCCAGACCCGTGGTTAGTGACGAGTTTATATTGTTTGATTGCAAAAGTTATCTAGAACTCTATGGTTACACTATAAGTGGCAAATGTTCACATTTCTTTCTGACTATGCACACATTCCTTCTGACTTTATATGTTTGCATAATGATAAAACTTCAGTCAACTTCAGTGTATGCCTGGCCAGATCGGTTTACGTGTATCTAAATACATTTTGACAGGAGTACGGTCAAACGTTTCCCAATCGGTAATTTTGTACCTATCTCTTGAGACCTACAGGGGGTACCCGGGTAGGGTTGGGCAATAGGGGGTGGGTACCCGGGTAGGGTCGGGCAATAGGGGGTGGGTACCCGGGTAGGGTCGGGTAATAGGGGGTTGGGTACTCGGCTATTAAATTTGGACTCATCCCAGCCCTACAAGGCATTACATATTAACTACAGTAGTGTGAAAGAATCGGGTGATCCTTAACCTTTTCGGAGAAATATATAATCTGATGTGATATTTTAGGTAAAATCCTGCTTTTTTTTAGACTTATATTCATTGTAACAGATCCCTGTTATATATAGTACTCTTGCCACAATCGTTAGCCTGACTAACAGCTGTGAACTACACCAATCTCATTAAAATCAGTCCTCAGTTCTTGCTACCACTGAACCAAAGATCTGAGGACATCCCATTACGGGTCACATCAGACTGACCTTGTGTGAACTTTGACCGACCAATGGAATGAGTAATTAGAAGGCAACTTTCTCGTGCTTTACGGCACTAATTTCAAATTGGCAACTACATTTCGAAACATATTTTGACAAATTCTCGATTAAAAATTTGAAACCTGAACAAACAAAAAATTCTGGAATGGCTAATAGATGGTCTAGATTGTAAGGATTCAGTCGTTAAACCCGTAACTATCGTTCCGAATACCCCATGTTAAAGTTTTCGAGGTTGCATTATGAGAAATCCCATTCCGACTGTCACTTTCATAATCTGGTTAGTGACGCTCTGATTGCTCGGATGAAAGGTCGTTCTGACGTGACACCTAATGGGATGTCTTCAGATCTTTGTTTATCGGTAGCGAGAACTAAGATCTGATTTTAATGAGATTGAAACTACACCAGTGTTAACAACTGCCTTGTTGCACATGACAGCGAGAAGTTCACCTGGAGCTCATCAACATGGAGGCCAAGAAGAACATAACTGCTGCTAAAGGAGGCGGGAAATCTCAGCCAATCAGGACTAGTGTCAGGGGTCAAGGTCAAGCTAGAGTTGACACTGGCATGAGGAAAGCTCAGATCGGGAGGACAGAGAAGCAGAAGATAGGTTCTCAAATCAAGGTAGGTAATACCCTTCTTGTAATTTCAGTTTACAATTCAGGCATTTTTGTTTGTTTGTTTGTTGTTTACAACGCACTCAGCAATATTCAAGTTACATAATGGTGGTCTGTAAAATCCAGAGACTGACATTATGAGCATCGATCTACGTAATTGGGATACGATCCAGATTGTTGCCTCTTACGACAAGCGTAGTTGCCTTTTATAGCAAGCATGGGTTGCTGAAGACCTATTCTCTACCCGATCTTCATGGGTCTCACCCCGGAACATGGCACATGGACAGGGCACAACGTTTCCCACGTATACTACTCAAAAGGAGTTGTTGTTTTATTACTATAGTTTATCTGTCATGGCATAGCACATCCTTTATACTTGTCGTACTGACTGAAATGAGGATTGTTGAAAAGTGTCACAGTGTTTGATCTAGTTGAGTGTGTGTGTTCATACACTGACATCAACCACTGGTTTGCCTGGCCAGGTGTCATGTTTTTAATGAGAACATTGCAGCTGTCAGCCATAGTATTATCCAAAGTCAGTCTTGTGGATAGAGTGTCTGCTCAGAGAGTGTAAAACCGGATCTATTCCTGTCCACGTCATACCAAAAGATGTTAAAAGATGCTCCTTGTTGTTAGCCTGTTTGGCGCTCGGCATTAAGAGGCTTAAACAAGGACTGGTGGGGTCGGAGTCAGTATACTGTGTCTGAGTGGGTGATTGCCAAATTCACTTACCGACAGTTACATTCGGAAAACCAGCAGATGACAAACACTGATAGATGACAATTGAAAAGCACATCGTGCCTAGTACATGTTGTGTCTTAATTACCGGTAGTCGCTGATTGGTAATTAAAACAATGGCGCCTTTCTTACAATGCTAGGTTTAGAAACAACAAATGGCTCCCTGGAGAGGGAGCCGCAAGCAGACGCAGACAGGTACACTACTATTCACATAGTTTTAAATGATTTACAGGGATTGTAACGAAACAGGTTTTAAGTAAAAGGTGGGTAAAAATACTTTGAAAAGCCTCTAAAACTTGTGGATACCCAATCAAGATCAAACCCCTGGGTAAAATACCCAAATATCCCAAAGCCTTTCTGTAGCTCTGCCACACACCTAGTTATGTAGCAGGTATGTCTAATGAATGCATGCCTTTGTCAGAATAGATAAAAGTACACACAAGCATTTATCCACTTCGTTTATTTCCACACAACAGGAAACAACAAATATTCCCCATAGACCTATTTATTTTTGGAAAATATTGTAAATACCCGGGGAATGATGTCTTGCATCATTCATTCAAGACACAAAATTGCAGTTTGTATGTGGCAAATGTAATGCCAACAGTTCGGCAATTTGAGTGGGGAACAGGAGAAATGTACCATCCATGTTACCAGGGAACAGTGAAAATATTACAATGGTTCTCAGCCAATCAGAATCTGACATTCATATGCAAGGTAAGATAAATATTATTTGTTACCTTATGCTTCAGACTACAAATGGGACAGATTACTTGACTAAGATCTATGGAAAGGCTCCAAGCCAGAAGACCAGAACAACAGTTAAAGAATCTCATCACTACCAGAGCAGCACCAAGTGTCGCCGTGCACCACCTGCTGCATCTGTCAAAGGTATCACTGTAACCCCCTAGTTAACCCTGCTGTCAGATAATCGGAGGGGATCAGATGCAAGAATCGGCCCGAGTGCACATGCTCTGTTTCAAGTCCACCAACAGCAGTTCATAAACAGCCCATAGAGTCAGAATTCTAGTTTAAGTGATGTGGTTCAAGTCACCTATGTCAAAAGCTGAGATTTTAAAGATAAATCTGAAATTGAACAGCAAGTATGTTTCAAATAGAGCATTTTGGGGAGATATGAGGGATATCAGAAACTTTGGAGCCTGGCTTTCTTGGTTGTTGTTATGCTTAGGGGTGACATGTATTAGTATTGACCATGCAAGTTGAGTCAGATTTCACAATTTCGTGTGTGTCAGTCCAGTGTCTTGCTGCCCTTCAACAGTGAGGTACACCACTCCTTAGCATTTAGATGGATAGTATTAAGTATGGAGCGTCTAACAATGTTTTAACCTGAAGAGTCAATCACCAAAGATTATTGACGAAGGTTTGCATCCTGTTTATGGGAAGACTGCCCCATCAGAGTTGGAGAGATGACATTGCTGTGGGGGACGCACCACACAAGAAAACATGGATGCCGTCCACACCCTGGTCATGAATAACAGGTGCATTACAAAGTTAGAGGAGACCACAGGCTTCTTGTGTGGATCAGTAGAAACAATCCTTCATGAACATCTACACGTCACAGGTTTGTCTGATGGGCTCCTAGAACACTAGCAGGTGAAATGAAATGACTATGATCCCGAGAGCTAGCAAGAATCCATGGAGCGGAAACGCTTGTGTCTCCTAAAACCAGGAAAGCGACCAGATTTACTATGAATGGTGATTATTATGCCAACTGATTGAATAGATTGCACAAGTCTGTCAAATAGAAGTGTCACAGCAACTTCACCATGGTGCTCTCCGCCACCAGGACACTGCTCTCTGCCACCAGGACACTGCTCTCCGCCACCAGGACACTGCTCTCCGCCACCAGGACACTGCTCTCTGCCACCAGGACACAGCTCTCCGCCACCAGGACACTGCTCTCCGCCACCAGGACACTGCTCTCCGCCACCAGGACACAGCTCTCCTCCACCAGGACACTGCTCTCCACCACCAGGACATTGCTCTCCTCCACCAGGTCACTGCTCTCCTCCACCAGGACACTGCTCTCCACCACTAGGACACTGCTCCAGTTTACACCAGTCATGTGGCTGCTGGATGGGAATGTCTGTACAAGCTTCTCCCCTCTGCACCATCTTCACTACATCTTGTTTTCAAATTTGAAGAAAACACTTGGACCAACAATTGGTTGCTGCCATGGAGGGCTGGTTGACAGACTTGATTTGACCGTCCACAAAACAGGGATATCTGACCTGGAGAAGAGAAGGAACAAGTGTACTCAACTGCAAGAGGGCAATATTATAAAATATTTAAAGCTCACAAGAATATTTCAGTTCCATTAATGCTAGGCTCGAAACTTTTTATACCCCCTGGTATGTGAAAAAGGACAAGCAATCCATTTACAAATTCAGTAACTGCAACCATAAACCACCTTGTGTGCTCAAACAGTGAATGATGCTGGTTCTGTTTGCAGGAACAGATGTGAAATCTTCCAAGACCCAAACAATAAAATCAGTTGCCAAGTCGGCCGTCCATCAACACCCACAGGCAGGCCCTGTGTCTGCTCCAAGACAGTATTACTTCAGCCCTGACACTGGATACATACCCCTAGCTGTCAGTAATGCATGTAAGTATTACTTCAGCCCTGACACTGGATACATACCACTAGCTGTCAGTAATGCATGTAAGTATTACTTCAGCCCTGACACTGGATACATACCCCTAGCTGTCAGTAATGCATGTAAGTATTACTTCAGCCCTGACACTGGATACATACCGCTAGCTGTCAGTAATGCATGTAAGTATTACTTCAGCCCCAACACTGGATACATACCCCTAGCTGTCAGTAATGCATGTAAGTATTACTTCAGCCCTGACACTGGATACATACCACTGGCTGTCAGTAATGCATGTAAGTATTACTTCAGCCCTGACACTGGATACATACCCCTAGCTGTCAGTAATGCATGTAAGTATTACTTCAGCCCTGACACTGGATACATACCCCTAGCTGTCAGTAATGCATGTAAGTATTTCTTCAGCCCTGACACTGGATACATACCCCTGGCTGTCAGTAATGCATGTAAGTATTACTTCAGCCCTGACACTGGATACATACCACTAGCTGTCAGTAATGCATGTAAGTATTACTTCAGCCCTGACACTGGATACATACCACTAGCTGTCAGTAATGCATGTAAGTATTACTTCAGCCCTGACACTGGATACATACCACTAGCTGTCAGTAATGCATGTAAGTATTACTTCAGCCCTGACACTGGATACATACCCCTAGCTGTCAGTAATGCATGTAAGTATTACTTCAGCCCTGACACTGGATACATACCACTAGCTGTCAGTAATGCATGTAAGTATTACTTCAGCCCTGACACCGGATACATACCCCTAGCTGTCAGTAATGCATGTAAGTATTACTTCAGCCCTGACACTGGATACATACCCCTAGCTGTCAGTAATGCATGTAAGTATTACTTCAGCCCTGACACTGGATACATACCACTGGCTGTCAGTAATGCATGTAAGTATTACTTCAGCCCTGACACTGGATACATACCCCTAGCTGTCAGTAATGCATGTAAGTATTACTTCAGCCCTGACACTGGATACATACCCCTAGCTGTCAGTAATGCATGTAAGTATTACTTCAGCCCCGACACTGGATACATACCACTAGCTGTCAGTAATGCATGTAAGTATTACTTCAGCCCTGACACTGGATACATACCACTGGCTGTCAGTAATGCATGTAAGTATTACTTCAGCCCCGACACTGGATAAGAAATCTATGTAATATGAACATAAAGTATTATTGCAATTTATCTGTATTGCAATATGTATGGCCAGATGTCGGGAGGTGAAGTGTTTAACAGTGATTGACACTGACTGTACATGCAGATCCGCATTTGTCAATCAATTTCGAAAGTAAATTTAATTTGTGAATGAATTTCTGTGTAAATTTTTAGGATAAGAGGTACAAATAATAATGAAAGTTGTCACATATTTTTGACCCATTATACCATATCACTGGAGAGAATATTATGTTATGTATCGTTTGAAAAAGTGTATTGCAGTATGCAGTCCTGTAAAGAATGCCATGGGTTTCAATGAAGTGGTAAATGTCTGAGACCTGCATCATTTTGGGCTTTCCTCCCACTTTAAGCTGACATGCCGTGATATTACTGGAATATTGTTAAATGCGGCATTAAACCCAACTCACTCACTGTAAAGTATCAGTAGGTCATCCTTCGTCTTCCTCAGCTCCAGTCCCTGGTCAGCTTGTACCGATGGCCATCCCACTACAGAAACCAAGGCTCGAACCCGGACTGAGAATGCCACAACCTGGACCTTCATCTGCAGCATCAACCTTTGTGCCTCCTCCTGTGAAACCACTGGTAACTGCAGGCACTAATGTTGCCATGGTAGCCATCCCTACAGAGGAAGAGAAGCCGGAGAGGTCCCCTGAACTGAGCAAGCAGGTGGGTCAGTGTGGAACTGAGATTCAGGGAAACATGCAAATATCCTACTGAAGGTAAGGCCAAGTTTTATAGTTAAATAATCAAAACATTTTTGTGTTTTATAGGTGCTTCCCCCTGTTGACATTGACAGCACGTCCGAGACATCAGTTCAGCGTGAGGTGTACATTCAGTCTCCTCAGTCACCCAGGAGAGCCCAGTTTGACACCTCCTATCGCTACCGGCAACAGAGGGTATGTATCTGTCCCCCACAGACCCCTGTTTGACCACCCCTAGTCATCTGATAAAGGGGACCGCCTCCGTGGTCTAGTGGTAGAGCGTCTGCCCGGAGAGAGGAAGGTCCAGGGTTCGATCCCCGGCCGCATCATACCAAAAGACGTTAAAAGACGTTGTTACCCTGTCTCGGCATTAAGGGGCTAAAACAAGGACTGGTCGGCTCGGAGTCAGTATGCTGTGTCTGAGTGGTGTATTCATGTTAAACTGCGGCATGGTATCTCAGTGGGCTAGCACTATAAATCGGCATCAGTCCGGTCTAGTACAAGCAGCCACACACACACACACACGTGCATGCACGTTGCTTTATAAGTGCAATAATCTTGGATGTGACGTTAAACCCAATTTCACCTCACCTCACCTGATAAAGGGAGACAACCCCAAAGGGAATGGCATCTCTTCCTCTGCTACCACATGCTATTCCCCCTGGTAGAATCACCACCATTACATCCTCTCCATGGACAAAGGGGTCATCAAATCACACACCCTTCATGTGAGGGATGTTGGTCTTTCTATCTATAGACTTCATGGTATATAAAATATATACACCACCACCAAAGTGCCTTTACCAATGTAGCATGGAATGAAAGCATCAGTAGCATGATCAACAATGTTATACTGACTGTTGAGAATAGGCTGATGTTGGAGGCTTAGTCACCTAGGATCATCTCGGTGGGGATCTCAAGGATGAGGTTGAAATCATGGTAAAAACTGTCATGCACTCATTCCATTTGCTGTTTAATCCCAAGACGAGGCTTACTCTGTTGTGTTATTTTTAACATCACATGCTTTTTCACACATATATGACATGGTGGCGTCATATGCAAAAGGGAATCCACTGCAATGTAATAAGGTCATGTGAAACTTTAGGTCTTCCAGTCTTAGGATATTGCTTGATGTTTTCCTTTAAAGTTAACAAGAGTAAAGATATTTAGTATATTGCTATTGGGTATTGCCTATATACATGTGGTGCTGATATCCAGAGTGAAGACGAGGAGGAGGAGGAGGAGGAGGAGGAGGAGGAAGATTTTGACCAGTCTGGGATCGGTATTGCTCTACCAGGACACCAGCCTCCAGCTGAACCGGAGCCGTATGGGCCAGAGTTCCCACCCCCCGTGGCAAGACTCCCCCAGTCCATGAAGCTGGAGTCACAGATCACCTCTGATGTGCTGGCAGAGGACCTGAGACAGAGGGACATCGTGCAGAACAAGGCTTTGCAGTGGTGAGTGGGGGGTGATGCAGTGGTGAGTGGGGACTGATGCAGTGGTGAGTGGGGGCTGATGCAGTGGTGAGTGGGGGCTGATGCAGTGGTGAGTGGGGGGTGATGCAGTGGTGAGTGGGGTTGATGCAGTGGTGAGTGGGGACTGATGCAGTGGTGAGTGGGGGCTGATGCAGTGGTGAGTGGGGACTGATGCAGTGGTGAGTGGGGGGTGATGCAGTGGTGAGTGGGGACTGATGCAGTGGTGAGTTGGGGGTGATGCAGTGGTGAGTGGGGGCTGATGCAGTGGTGAGTGGGGACTGATGCAGTGGTGAGTGGGGGGTGATGCAGTGGTGAGTGGGGACTGATGCAGTGGTGAGTGGGGGCTGATGCAGTGGTGAGTGGGGGTTGATGCAGTGGGGACTGATGCAGTGGTGAGTAGTGAGTGGGGACTGATGCAGTGGTGAGTGGGGACTGATGCAGTGGTGAGTGGGGACTGATGCAGTGGTGAGTGGGGTTGATGCAGTGGTGAGTGGGGACTGATGCAGTGGTGAGTGGGGACTGATGCAGTGGTGAGTAGTGAGTGGGGACTGATGCAGTGGGGAGTAGGGTTGATGCAGTGGTGAGTGGGGACTGATGCAGTGGTGAGTGGGGACTGATGCAGTGGTGTTCTCTCAACCATACAAGTCCAACTATATATAAACAAATGTCAAGCTGCAGGTATTCCGTGTTCGAATTGGTCCCCGGGAACCTATCCTGGTTGTAAGAGATGACAATGAATTGGTTGGTCTGGATCAGTGACTTGGTTGATGGTGCATCAACATACCCCATCTGTGTGGATCGATGCTCATAATATTCACTGGATTGTCTGGTCCAGACACAATTGTGTTCAGTCTGCTGTCAAATAGCTGGAATATTGCTGAGTGTGGCATCAAACAATAAACACACACACAAATGTCACATTGTTGTCTTATTAATGTACAGTTTTACCCAAATACTATGAGGTGTGGAGGAAAGTGTATATTTCCCTCTCTGTAGTCTGCTGACACAGTCTTGTGTTTCTTGTTGACAGGATCGAGCAGGAGTTGATGGCTAGAGTTCTGACAGAAGTATATCCACTGCGACCTGCCGACCCCATCCCTCATGAACCAGCACCATCTGTCCACACTGACGACAGCGTGGATGATGAGTCTCTCCTGGGTGGGTTACTGTCATACTGTTTTAGGAAGAAGACTGTATTTACATTATTGACCTGGTAAAGGGCTTGATATGACAGTACCCTTAGCATGACAACCGACACCCTTATTATCTTAGTTGTGTCTGTGTTATAATATTAAGATTGTGTATGATTAACATAACATTTATCAACATTTTACCATTCATCAGGGAAATATCATATTTTATGGACCCAGGAAACTGATGACCACTTTTCTTGGTCAACATCAGTTCTTGGGTCCATAAAACCTGATATTGCCTGAATTATGGTCAGTAATTGTTTTATCACATAATATGAAAAACAAGAATATTTCAATTTGAATTTGAAATAACTGATACTGCTTCACAACAAGCTTTATGTTACGCTCTCTCTGATTGGCTGAAAATATTTCTCTCCTTTGACTCCATTGGCTTAATCACAAAGGGCATTTCCAGTTTTGATTACTGCACAGAGGGTCTCAGGGCAATACTGTGTTCTAAGGATGGTCATGTGACCCTTTCTCAACCAATGAAAAAACAGATATAATTTGTAAATGTAATAATTAGTGTTGCTACTTGTAGGGCTTAAATAATACCCAGGAGCAATCACATGATTTTTATCCCAATATGTTATTTCAGTGTAAATTTGCCTGAGTGAGTTCTTATTATGATATGACATTCAAAATTCAAATTCTGAGGTCGATATTGCTTTCTTCGGGTCCATAAAAACAGGTATTGACCTCAAATAAAGTCTATGATTGTTTTATTCTATAATAAAGAGACAAAAGCAGATTTAACATACCAAACAATGTTAGAAGGTTCCAACAAACGTAGACATCTGATTGGCTTCGGTTTAGGGAATGCCATTTCTCCTATTCTACATTTAGTAACTCAAGTCAATACTGTTAATTATGAGAGTCAATACTCATTTCTGTTGCTTCTCGGCCAATGAATATGGTAGATATCTTTTCATTATGTGATAAAACAAGAAAATATCAAGAAGGCACCATGAAATGATAGGTTTGAATGATGAACTGTATAATGTCAACATAACTGATAATGAAGACAGTTTATGAAATGATTTGTGTCAATACACAGTGAGGCTGATATCACAGTGAAATTTTGCATTCCTCAGTCCTGTCAGTCTTCGTCATTTTGTTTCCTCCTTAACTGGAGATGGTTGTTCCTCTCCAGTGATGGACACCATCGGTCAGACTGGCCTGAAGCTGTTTGTGGACGCCGGTCAGCCTGTAGACAACAATTTGGTCAATGCTCTGGTACGTGAGGTCATCTCCGAGCAGCTGACCGTCATGCTGGGGCAACGCAGCCGGGAAGATGGACTGTCAGGGAGGGACAGTGACGGAAGGAGGCAGGAGGATGCTGAGGAGAACGTCGCAGGGGAAGAATATGAAGAAGATTACAGGCAACAGGTATCACTGAGTGAAATAATTGTTTTCTCTTTTAGCTGTAAAATCCATGTTTCCTAAATGATAATTGTTACAATATAACAAAAGTTATTAACACCTTATTGTTTGTTTGTTGATTAATGCCACTCACAGCAGTACTCCAGCTGTTGGATGGTGTCCTGTGAATAATAAGTCTGGACAACAAATCCTGTAAATGTTATTATGGGTGAAACACCTGATTGACTGTCTGTGAAAGGGAAGGACTATAGGGATCAAATGATGTTCCCTTGAGCCTGCAATCACTTTCTGACATGGTAAATAGAGGCTGTGTGAGGGGGGGAGGTATACTTATTTGCAAAACCAAAGTCAGACTATTTGTTTTGCATGGATTCTGAAACAAGTTTCGTTAAATCAGTATGATACTCCCACAGATGTAAAAATCTCCGACCCTGTGGGGATTCCAGGTAAGAAGGCCACCAGTAACCTATATTAGATGACCAGATGGATCCGGTGGTCCTCTTATTGTGTACATGAAGAGTGTTTGTATACAGCCTATAGGGGTGGCGGGCTGGTGGGTGGAGGTTCATTCATCAATCACCTGATACACGGGAACAATCAGTGATGACTATGTATGTGTTCCATCTGATATACACTGAAACTTTGTTAATCCAAATGAAATCCTGGCAAATTGCCCAGTTTAATAACATTCCAAGTTTCACATGGTAGTGCTGTTCCTTATGAAGATCGTCCGGAAGATTCTGTTTCCGGTCTATCACGGTCCAGACTAATGAGATTTCACTGACAAAGTAGAGATAATTTATGGAGACCGTATTTGACATAACAAGCGCCCCGCTCTAATAAGCGCAATATTTGCTAATATATTGGCTAGTGAACAATCCCAATTAGCACCCTTCCGATTGATCAATGTACACAAGACCTATTTATTCGCGTATAATATGCACTCGTGTGTTATATGCACCCTTAATTATGGGCAATTAAATTCTAGAAAAATATATCTGTCGTATATATACATTTCAGGCTGTCAGCATACACCACAAAATTTATCCTTTAACTCACCTGTTTTTTTTCACCAAAATAATATTTTAGTAAGAGCCCCCTATTTCTAATTTTGAGAGCGCCCTGGGTGCTTCTTACGTCGAATACGGTAACCACTTTATTTACTGTAAAGGCGACGTTTCAATATAGATACTTGTACCGTTGTCATGCAAGGATGAATAATGAGCATAGTTCAGAATATATGCAGTAAGTGGAGGATTAACAGTAACAACAATTGCATAGATCAAGACCGCCTCCGTGGTCTAGAGGTAGAGCGTCCGCCCGGAGAGCGGAAGGTCCGAGGTTCGATTCCCGGGCGCGTCATACCAAAAGACGTTAAAAGATGGTACTTGTTGTTACCCTGTCTGGTGCTCGGCATTAAGGGGCTAAAGCAAGGACTGGTCGGCTCGGAGTCAGTATACTGTGTCTGAGTGGGGTATTCATGTTAAACTGCGGCATGGTATCTCAGTGAGCTAGCACTATTAATCGGCATCAGTCTGGACTAGTACAAGCAGCCACACAAACACACATACACATAAATACACGTCGCTATATAAGTGCAATAATCTTGGACGCGACATTAAACCCCATTTCACTTCACTTCACTGCATAGATCAGAGAGATTAATGTGAGTAGGTTAAACAACGAGAACAGAAGGATAATGCTGCAACAACATGATGGACAGAGAACATGATCAGGAAGCCAATCGAGATTGCTCTGTAGGTGGATTTTCCTACTAACTGAGTGTTCCGGTAGCCTTGTGGTTAAAGTGTTTACTCATCATGCCCAAGGCCCAGGTTCGATTCCCCACGAGTACAATGTGTGGGGCCCATTGCCAGTGTCCCCTGCCATGATAGTGCTGGAATGTTCTAAAAGACATGAAACCATACTCCAGAGGTCCAGATAAACTGCGTGTCTGCGTAAAATACGCATCAGAAATCTAGAAATACTCATTAAAATAAAATCCAAGCGTATCAAATACGCAACGAACATTACAGATACGCTACAAAAATAAAGCTTGTGTGTATCATCAAAATATTGTGAAGTAACCCTGCATATTCGATTAGCAAATCAGCAACTTATTTTGAAATTATAAACGGGCATTCCGTCAACCTTGCTAAACTTCACGATGACAGTTACATCATGATCATTTGCCATCACACTTTCTTGTTGAAGTATCGTGGTATTTTTGAGTCCTATAAAGCTCTCGAACCCACACGACACCAGTTTGCAGGGACTAGATGAATAGTGTTTTTAAATATTTAACTTAATACCCACATGTGTAAAAACTAGTGGGTAACAGAAATTTGAATATCCAGATAGAATTACTGATACCCAATGATTTTAAAATGCATGGGTAAAATACCAACAACACCAAAAGCTTATTTGGAGCTCTGCATACTCCCTCACTCATTCCTACCCACTCGCTCGCCCATACAATCTACATGACATTTGATGTTCAAGGTGTAGCATTTCTGTACCCAGCCCTGGTCATCAGTTTCAGGAGTCACCTCGTCAAGGTCGTATCAGAACACCGCAACCTACTCCAAAGACGAGCCCTGTTATGTCACCAGTGAGAGTTATCTCCCCTCCCATGACTCCAACCGGCTCTCCTGTAGATGAGATAAGAATGTTCCGTGAGAGTGAGCGACGTATTGTGTCTTCACCCCCACCAGTGATACCTGTCACCCCAGCGGTGCCACTTACAGAGCCCGAGTCTGAACCAGAAACTTCAGTTTCACTAGACATCAGTGAAGAGCTGCGTCGACTCAGAGGTAAGACCTTATCTATTCTTTTCATTCCACTCCACATTATTTCTGCTATTTCACAGCAACCTGTAAATAATCAAATCTGGACCCGTGATTGACGTTATGAGCAACATCCCACCAGGATACAATAACATGCACTGATTAAGTAACCAGGTATTGACTGCCCGATTGGTCGTCAAACCTCTCAACATTTTACGTTGGCACAAGTGGCCTAGTCGTCTATGGTGCCGCAATTCTCTGTGATGTAGGTTGTAGGTTTAAATTCCAGTTTGCCCCGATTATGTTTCTAGGTTTGTCGGCACCATACCCGTACTCTGGGTTTCACCAAAGTGGTAAACCTCTAAGTCCTGTATCACTTCGGGCTTTCTTCCAATATCAACCTGGCTGATATTGTGTTGTCATATCAGGTGGCTGTGTCGATGCTCATGCTATCAACTACTGGTTTGTCTGACCTAAACTTGTTCGTAGCTGTGTCAGCATGAAACATGTGCACAATCAAGTATTTACTCGGTATTATTGATGGTTGTAAATAATTCAAATATTCCTTGTTGTCCATAGAACAAAGAAATGGAATGTGTTTATAATACAGAAAGAAATGAACTCTTAATTATTTTCAATTGTTCTCTTCAGGCGGATCGGAGGATGTAAGCTTCTTCCCAGACTCAAGGCACGATCTGGCCACGCCCATCACAACCCCTCCCCCTGAACTACCCCAGGATGAGCCAATCTCACCTCCCCCACCATCCCCACCACCTCAGCAGGTAACCATACCAACCTCACCACCACCTGTCTCTCAAGCCCCGGTCCCACCACCCCCCGAGGAGCCGACAGAGGTAACTCCTCCCAAGCCAGCATCGCCCCTCCCAGAAGAGAACCCGGAGTACGTCCCACCTCCCCAGCAGGCTGACCAACACCAGCCAGTGTAAGTAGCTGATTTGTGCACTGTGTGTTTAGGAAAGCTAGTCCATGTCTTGTCAAGGGCTAGTAACAGTGTTAAATGAACTGTTTCTCAATGTCACAGTCAAAAATGCTATCAAAAGATTTTTTTATGGAGATTGTGGAGAAATATAGTATGCTTGTGGTAAGATCCGACTTCAGAGGATCAGGTAGCCAGACTTGGTGCGTGGGTGTCATGACTGTATGATCCCCAGGGAGTTGAGAATTATAACTGTAATGTATACGGATCCACTGGTCAGGGAACAAATAAACTGTATAATATAGATATATATATGATATATGATATATGACATGATGACATGACATGACATGACATGACATGAGTCTCAACACAAGTCGAAACAAGAGAAACGGTTGATTTTTTCTGTATCAACCTTATGATGAACCATATTTATAGCACTGAATGTGCAGCAAGGTATGCATCATGTGCCTCTCTTCCTTAGGGAGACGACTGCGGAGACCCCGGAGGACCCAGGCGAACGTCTGTTACGGTCTCTCAGCGATAGAGACCTCTCTTCCGCTAGCCACTCACCAAAGGGCCGTCGCTCTCCGAGTCCTCAGCGTCGTTCACCCAGCCCACAGCGCCATCGCTCCCCGAGTCCCGGGATGTCCGACTTCAGTTCCTCGCCCGTCACCAGCATGACGGAGACCATCAACGAGACGGTGTCGGAGGGGCAGTGGCTGCTGAGTCGTAGTGAGGGGCAGGCAGCTCCGTTCCCATATGAAGAAAGTAGGTTGTCTTTGTGAGTGAGTGATTGAGTGAGTTGGGTTTAACGCTGCTTTTAACATTATTTCAGTTTTATCACGGCGTGTCAGCTTAATGTGGGAAGAAAGCCTGAAGTCATGCAGGTCTCACATGAAACCCCCGAGCTTGGGTATGGTACTGTGAAACCTAATATTTGTAGAAATATAAATGGGGCGAACTGGGATTCAAACCAGGATCATAGGTTTCTGGCGTGCCCAAGGGACAGAACTCTCCACAGTGAATTGCGGCGCCTCAGACGACTTGGCCACCTGTGCCCCCTGTTGTCTGTGTGATTGTTCAACATTATATACAGGAGATTGAGCTGGTTTTTCATGTGTCTGTGAACTATGCAGCAGAAATTTTGGAAATAAAGCCACTGTGATTTGAAATTTGAGGACGGCTCACTGTAGGTTCAATACCTTTTATTTTAATTTGTAACTGAGCTCTTTGGTAACAAATAATGTTCTAAAGGGTTATCAGCAGCCGTATTTTCCGGGAGATGTGGGATTGCTTTGGAATAAGACTGCAACTTTTGGGGCGCTACGATTTTTGCTTTGCTTTTGACATTTTATTTTCATTAACCAGTGGCCCGCCCGCGAGGTGCAAGACGTGGCGATGTAAGTACAGCCAGCACACTGCGCGACACCGACGACCTGGACATGGTAGGTTGATGATGCAGACACTTAATACTTGTGTTGTAAAATGTACGTCAACTGAGAACACATATCAGAAATTGCTTACTTACAGTATGACTCATGAACTCAGAGAATACAGATTAACTCTTCTGAGAAAATAAATCGGAACATTGTTTTATCTGTAATTCTGAGTGTGAAGAGCTAAAAGATCACAAGGCTCAAACATCAAGGATGGACTGGCTCTTTCATTTGTTTGTTTGTTTGAATAGTCAGACAGAAGTGATTCTCATTTTTACGACTGGTTCTCCTTCTTTGCGCTATGTGCACCTAAATCTAAGATAGATACCGTATTTGATGTAATAAGCGCCCAGGGTGCTCTCAAAATTAGAAATATGGGACTCTTATTAGAATATAATTTTGGTGAAAGAGTTGAAAGATCGTAAATTGTGTGGTTTATGCTGACAGCCTGAAGTGATACAAAAGGAAAGTCTGTGCGTTTTATACACGACAGATGTATTTTTCCAGAATTTAATTGCCCGTAATTAAGGGTGCATATAACACACGATTGCGTACTATACGCGAATAAATAAGTCTTGTGTACATTGCTCAATCGGAAGGGTGCTAATTGGGATTGTTCTCTAGCCAATATATTAGCAAATATCGGCGTGGGCGCTTATAAGAGCGGGGCGCTTATTAGGTTGAATACGGTAATTGGTCCATGCAGCACATGGACAGTGGTGGGTAGCTGAACTAAAGCAGGGCAGAAGCCAGAGCCTAGTGCTCCTTTACATTCACAGCTCCTCTGACAGTGGTCAGTGTAACATGACAAGGTTTTGAGGGAACGTCTTTGTCATTTTGAGGAAAAGGTTTGTCATACCTGCAGAGAAAGCCAACCCATTGTACAACTGTTACCAATGTAGTGACTCCGTTGTGAATATATGTTACGTTATATTGACTCTGTCCCCTAGAGAACAGTGTTAAATAATATAATGACCAGTCACGTAGGTTCTAATAGTTGTTGAAGTTAATCTTTCAACCCTTCTGGATAATTATTCTGCAAACAATTGTTAATAACTCCCTCGCTGTATTGCCAGGACAACACAGAGGTGTCTAAGAGTGAGGGTGAGTTCCTGTACCGTTCCGTGGCGGCGCCGGAACGAGACCCCGTCCTGCAGTACGTGATGAGCCTCCAGCAGCAGCAGCAGCTCGTCCTGCCAGCCTACCCAGGATACAGCTACGGTCAGTACGACATCCCGCAAGGCCGCGCACAGAACCTCCTCAACACCACGGGCAAGAGTCTAGGGGAGATAAGCGTGGGCCAGGTGGCGCCTCACAGGGTCACCCACATCCGAGCCAGCAATGACATGGAGGTAGAGGATGACGGTGGCTACAGAGGTGGGTTTGAAATGATAGTTGGTGGAAGAGAAGGAAAGTGCATGTCTCCAAGCTGTAGCACAAGAATAATTGTTTTCTATTTTCACCATGCAGTTAACGTATATCAGGAAAACATGAACCCAAAATTTCACAAATAAAAAAAACCCTGAAAATGTTTTGTCTGCAACAACTTCCTGTCGTAAAAAAAGTAGACCCCCCTGACCAATACCAGCCAGTGTAAGTAGCTGCTTTGTGCACTGTGGGTTCAGGAAAGCTAGTCCATGTCTCATCAAGGGCTAGTGACAGCTAGTGTGAAATGAACTGTTTTTCAATGTCACAGTCATAAATGATATCAACATATTTGTCATTGCAACATGGAGATTTCCATATATCAGGAAAACTCAAAATCAAAATAAAAAATCTCAAAATTTCACAAATTAAAAAATTCCTGATTTTTTTTTGTCTGCAACTACTTCCTGTAGTAAAAGAAGTAGATTGAGATTCTGAGATTAAGCTTGATTATGATCCTTGGTCTGTCAGAACCATACCCTTGCTCTGTAACACCGAGTCTCTGTTGGTTTGGGCTTTCCTCCATCATGAAACACCTGTGATAAAACTGAAATATTATTGACAGAGTTAAACTGAACTCTTTCGCCTGCTGCTTGCAGGGGCGGTGCAGGACAGCCCCATCAAGGGCAGCAGCCCCATCAAGGACACCACTATGAGGGTGGAGGACCTGAAGGAGAGTCAGAGCCAGCAGAGGACAACCTCACCCACGTCTCGGTCCCCTCCCTCTCGTAGGATGGACGGTGGTCCCGTGTCAGCCATGCCTCGCAGTAGCTCTCCCACAGAGAGAGGTAAGTGTGACACACAGAGGTAGGTCCTGTAGGTCAATTGGGTGAATTACCGGAGTCCTGTGTCAGCCTTGCAGCAGATCTCATACACAGAGGTAGGTCCTGTAGGTCAATTGGGTGAATTACTGGAGTCCTGTGTCAGCCTTGCAACAGATCTTATACACAGAGGTATGTCCTGTAGGTCGACTGGGTGAATTACCGGAGTCCTGTATTAGCCTTGCAGCAGATCTCATACACAGAGGTAGGTCCTGTAGGTCAATTGGGTGAATTACTGGAGTCCTGTGATGGCCTTGCAGCAGATCTCATACACAGAGGTAGGTCCTGTAGGTCAATTGGGTGAATTACCGGAGTCCTGTGTCAGCCTTGCAGCAGATCTCATACACAGAGGTAGGTCCTGTAGGTCAATTGGGTGAATTACCGGAGTCCTGTGTCAGCCTTGCAGCAGATCTCATACACAGAGGTAGGTCCTGTAGGTCAATTGGGTGAATTACCGGAGTCCTGTGATGGCCTTGCAGCAGACCTCTGATGTAGATTGGTCAGCTGTAATCTGAATGGTTTGTTGTTACATTGTATGCGGTGCTCACACACAGACAACGGTTCACAGGTGGCCACGTCATACCAAACACGTTAAAGATGTACTTGTTACTATGGTTACCCTGTCTGGCACTCAGCATTAAGGGGCTAAAAACAAGGACTGGTCTGCTTGGAGTCAGTGTACTGTGTCTGAGTAGAGTATTCATGTTACCGGTAAACTGTGGCATGGTATGTCAGTGGGCTAGCACTATAATTCGGCATCAGTGCGGACTAGTACGGGCAGCCACACTCACACACACGTGTGCATTTTAAGTGGAATAACCTTGGACGCGACGTTGAACCCCATTTCACCTCACCTCACCTCACCTCACCTCACCTCACTCTGACCCTTGTTGTCCACAGCGAAGGCCAGGAAGCCACCCCAGGCGACACGGTTCTCGGACCCTCTGGAGATGACAGAGCCTCCCCGTGTCAGTTCAAAGGTCATCTCTGTCAGGACCAGCTCCGAGGAGTTCCGGGAGTCTCTGGACATGGATCAGAGTAAGTCCTGACACAATGTATGTGTTGTAGCACATTGGTTGAGCAGTGCCTACCATACAGACACTGTACACTTCATCTGTTCACAATATCATGTGCACTCTAGAGCTCCTAAAGTTGTAATTGTTATTGTTAAGCAATTTGTCATACCAGTTACTTTGGTATTTATTTCTGTTATTTCATTGGCAAATGTTTAGTACCAACAAGGCATTTCAAAGTTTAGTGTGCAGTTGATAGCCTAGTGGTTAAAGCGTTCGCTTGTCGCGCCGAAGACCCAGGCTCAAATCCCCACATGGGTACAATGTGAGGCCCATTTCTGGTTTCTCCCGCCGCGATATTGCTGGAATATTGGTAAAAGCGGCGTAAAACCAGACTCACTCACTCACTAAAAGTTTAGTTATAAGCTGTATATATCACTAGATATAACTGAAGAACCCTTCACCCATTGAATCAATGTTGTTTTCAAGGTTATATTATTAATTATATTTTGAAAAAACAGTTTGTATGGAAGGTTGGTACTTGAAACTTCGTACAAATTTTATGACCTCGACCTTTTTGGTTGTTCCTACAAGGTCAAAGTCCTGCTGTTACATGTAACACCTTACCAGAGAATGATATTGTCCACTAAAATAGCAATTGTTGCACATAATTAAGGTAAATTTATTAAGACTTTAACTTGATTATATCCAGAAGTTTCTGCATAGTCATCCATGAGTATATGTGTTTCAGTGATGAATGGCACCCAGACTATGAGTGAACAGGGGACGCGAACCCTCACCCCCGACCAGATGAACACCGACCACTACATGCAGTCCGGGTACCTCTCACAGACCTTCAGCCAATCAGATGGGTCAGGAAGATTGACAGGCACTCTTGGCCAATCAGGTGGAATGGGATCTGGTAGACTGACTAGTACATTTGGCCAGTCAGATGACATGGGATCGGGAAGATTGACAGGCACTCTTGGCCAATCGGGTGGAATGGGATCTGGTAGACTGACCAGTACATTTGGCCAGTCAGATGACATGGGATCGGGAAGATTGACAGGCACTCTTGGCCAATCGGGTGGAATGGGATCTGGTAGACTGACTAGTACATTTGGCCAGTCAGATGACATGGGATCGGGAAGATTGACAGGCCCATTCAACCAATCAGGAGGCAGAGAACGGCCTCCGAGTCTGGGCTCAATGCGGGCCTCCAGCGAAATGAGTCGTTCTGGAGGGATAAGTCCAGACCGCCTACAGTCTTCTGGTCGGTCACTTGGTCTCACATACTCATTTGAGAGTGAGGTCGGGGACTCCATCAGTGAATTTGAACTGAGGCGATTGGCTAGTTCTGGTCCAATCAAGATGTCCGTGAAGATGCCATCTACAGGGCATGCAGATGACAGTGAAGATCTGTCGGAGATTGACATTACAGATAATCTGTAGTAATACCATACAATGTAATATTGGCTGTGTAGTGAAATGGGTATTATTTATCTTGTTCATTCAGCCGTTATGCCACATATTATGACCAAAAATTGTTTTGACATATGTAGTTTAATTTATGTTTGGCTGAATATTCAATCATATACAGCTTTGTCATGAGCATAATGGTTTCCAGTTTATTCTTGTAGATCGTGATAAAGATGTAGAAGTCATCTATGATCATAGCTTTTTAAAGAATATTCAATAATAATAATTTTATCAGTATAGGCTTTCAGTTCCAGCAATTTGAATAAATAGCTATGTATATTTTTCCAATTTCGGTACAAAATACTTCATGTTTTATTCCGTCCATATCAATCAGTTTTTATACTCATAGTTGCAGTGCACACAGGTAGAAATGCTGACTTATAATGTTGTACTCCAAACACTGACCTACTTAAGGTCACAGTGCTATTTCTGTTCAACGCATTCTGTGATAAACTGAAGCATTCCTTGAAATAAACATTGTATGAGATTCAAGACTGTAATTTGTTTTTCATCTTACAAAAAACAACATTGTTGTTACCATACATATTTATTGGGATTCCAGAGAAACATAGGTGCCTAGTGTTTCATACTTGTGTTGTTTGTTAAATGCCATATTTAAAAGAAGTATTCCAGCTTTATGATGGCAGCCTGTAAATAATCAAATCTAGACCTGACAATCCAGTGATTGATATTGTGCACAATCCACACTGTTGGGGTACGATGACACACTATTGACCAAGTCACCGAGTCTGACCACCTGATTCCTTTTGTCGCCCTTACGACCACCATAAGTTGCTGGGGACCTAGTCTAGCCCGGAATGCCCTCAGTGTCATCCCATGCTTGAAAGAGACAACTTACATTATCAGTTGTTGAAATGTTTTGTTTAGCAGCGTTAGAAACTGGCACTAGTCCTATAGTCTTTGCCAAACTGCCCAATGGTAAAGGTATCATAAGGACTAGTAGAAATTTGCCCTTTTTAAGGGTTTTGCTATATGTTATCATTATAAGGACTAGTGGATGAAAACTGTTAGTTTCTAACACTGTTTAGTACCTTAATGGCGGCCTGTAAATAAACTGGAACAGACAAACCAATGATTGATATTATGAGCAACAATCTATACCACTTGGGTAGAATAGGTCTTCAGCAACCCATGCTGGCTGTAAAAGGTGACTATGCTTGTCGTAAGAGGCGACTAACAGGATTGGCTGGTCTGGCTAGCTGACTTGGTTGAAGCATGTCATCGTATTCCAATTACGTGGATCGATGCTGATTCCAATCATTGGATTGTCTGGTCCAGACTCGATTATGTACAGACCGCCGTCCTATAGCTGGAATATTGCGGAGTGCGGAGTTAAACAACAAACAAACACTGACATGTAAATCAGCCAAGTTGCTGAGCCTGACCACCTGATTCTTGAAGTAACCTCTTGCAAGCATTGGTCGTTGGGGAACAGAGTTCCCAGTGTTCAAGCACATTGTGCTAACTGGGAGTAACGTTAGGCCACATCTACCCTGGGATGAGAGAAGAAACAACAGCAAGTCTGATGAAACATAGCATATTTAATATGTATATCATATGTACAGAGTCAGCACACAGACAATCTCCCCATGCTGTGGTCTGCTACAAGGCACAGCAGCACAGCGGGACTGCAGGACTGAACACACCACAGCACCCATAGTAGAGAGTAGTCGTACAGCTTATACTGAGCAGGTTCACATGGAACTCTTGTAAAACAACATCATATCTTAAAGGCCGAACCACCCTTAACACCTCATTAGTCTCAGATAATGTATCAGATACTCCACAACCACCTTCTGAAACTGGTCCTAGATCACATGCAGCGGACTTGTCATGAAGATGTATTACAGAGGTCCTTCTGTTCTTTGAATCTTGGGATGCCCCAAATCTCTAACTTTTATTTTAACATTCAAGTTAGACCTTCTGGTTCGGCCATTAATCATCACATGCACCAAAATACAGAGTATTAAGCACCACCTTGCAAACCCATGGCGCTAATAGCTGGGACCGCATTGTGTGTGAATATGATGCCATGCAATGTTACATGCTCAATATCTCGTAATATCACAAATATATCACATTATGGAAGGATTTTAATTCCTCAAAAACAAGTTGCATACAGTTTGATTATCTGTGTTTCTTTCAACAGTTCCCAGCCCATTTTGCTCAAACACTCATCAAAATTATCACATAGCATGTATAAGTACAAAATATACACCAGCAAATTTGTTCATGGCAATCACATAAAATACAGGATGGCTTGCAATCTTCCATCACTGTCTATAGCACAAACTGACTTTACTTCAGAGTAGGCCAGTGAGTTTGGTTCAATGCACCTAGAACCATTCACAAGTAACCAAGGTTTATTAATGTTTGTCAGGCTTCCCTGACACGGGCCCCTGCAACCTCGTGACACAGTTCCATGACAGAAAATGACTGACGAAATTGTGAAAGTCAGATTGGTGAAGGTGAGTCAATTAGCACTATCTGACACAACCATGACAGTTGCTTATTACAGCTGGTAGAGCACTGGGGCTGTGAGCATCCTAACGTAGTGACAGGAGCAGGTGTCATGTGACTGTAGTAGGTGTGTCATGTGACTTATAGCAGGTGTCATGCGACTGTTTTAGCAGGTATCATGTGACTTATTGCAGGTGTGTCATGTGACTGCAGTAGGTGTGTCATGTGACTTATAGCAGATGTGTCATGTGACTTATAGCAGGTGTCATGCGACTGTTTTAGCAGGTATCGTGACTTATTGCAGGTGTGTCATGTGACTGCAGTAGGTGTGTCATGCGACTGTTTCAGCAGTTGTGCCATGTGACTGCAGGTGTCTCATGACTGCAGGTGTCTCATGACTGCAGTAGGTGTGTCATGTGACTGCAGTAGGTGTGTCATGTGACTTTAGCAGGTATCATGTGACTTATAGCAGGTGTGTCATGTGACTGCAGTAGGTGTGTCATGTGACTGCAGTAGGTGGGTCATGCGACTGTTTTAGCAGGTATCATGTGACTTATAGCAGGTGTGTCATGTGACTGCAGTAGGTGTGTCATGCGACTGTTTCAGCAGGTATCATGTGACTTATAGCAGGTGTGTCATGTGACTGCAGTAGGTGTCTCATGCGACTGTTTCAGCAGTTGTGCCATGTGACTGCAGTACCAGGTGTCTCATGACTGCAGTAGGTGTGTCATGTGACTGCAGTAGGTGTGTCATGTGACTGCAGTAGGCATCATGTGACTGCCTTACCAGGTGTTGCAGCTGCAGGTGTCATGTGCCTGCAGCACTAATGGCCCTGACCCTCACATCTGGCGACAGCTGCACAGGTAGAGTTGAACAGGTAATAGTATCACAACAACCTAACAGCGGTAAACACAGTCATTGGAACAAAACACTTTAACACGACACATCGATGATCTGATACAGTATGGTAGGCTAGATATAAAGACTGATCATAAATGGAACCTTTGGTTTATAAATGTTGCATATTGAATGGACTTACTATTTACAATAATGTCCAATATCATTCAGTATGTCAAACTGCTTGAGATAAGGGAAACAATTTGTAAGAAACATCAGTTGCATGTTGATTATTGCCGCAGTCAGCAATATTCCAGCTATGACAGCAGCGTGTAAATATTCAAATCTGGGCTAGATAACCAGTGACTGATATTATGAGCAACGTTCCACACTATTGGGGTATGTTGACATGCAACAGGCAAAGTTACTGACTTTAACCACCCCATCAATTTAGTCACCTCTTACAACAAACATAGGTAATGGGGATCTATTCTAACTGTAGGCTGATTATGATAAGGATACGACTCCTACATTAGGTACATTTATTGATTACTGTTTGTGGAAATATTCTCCAACTGTTAATGATATAATTAATTTCATCAAATTGCACCAATGTTAATGAAAGACAAGTGTAATACTTACAAAATAAACCATGGATAATTGTGTTTTTTTGTATCTGTTTTGAAAATAACTTTGATTCGGTGCAGCTCTTGTAAAAAACATCACTCCAGACTCCATAATACCTGCACACACAATTTTATGATTTAATGGACTAAATTCACCCAAACAGTTCCTTGTCAGTAGCCATAAAAGTCACTTAATATTTTTTTCAATTTAATGCCTCTTCAGCGGCTTTGTAGCTGCTTATTTGAAGCATGTTAAATGATGGAATGACAGACAGGCTCTAGAGAAACATTCCCATGACACGAGATTAGCATGGGCCCTGAGCCAGTCTATCAACCTTGATATCAGCAACACAAAATGGCCTTTCAGAGGCGTAGGGTTAAAGTAACAAGAGTGTCGAGGATCCAAATGGGTACTAGAAAGAATCCTTTGTACTATGTAGCCTTTCGGGGGTCTTATTTTAATAAGATATTATAAATGAAGTATTGTACATATCTGGCAAAAAGGTTAGTAAATAAAGCAGATAAAAAACATTATTTTGCATTTGCACAATGTATAGCATGCTCAAGGTGGCACAAACATTCAAAATGTCTGAAAAATAATAATTCTGGTGCTGAGCATGCTGAGTGAGTAACTGACCTTGAGATGCCCGTGTTATCACCACCAGACAAATATTGCCATGTTTACTAGGGCTTGCTTACGACACATATCACTTGACGTTATTTACCACATGCTTCAACACAAGATAAACAAAGTCATCAAACCCTACCCAATGGACACTAGACAAAATATAACTTCAATGATGTCCACATACTTAGATATACTACTAAAAAAAAGTTAAGCACCACTCAATTCTTTCATATTACTATAGTTTATCTGTTGTGCGATAACAGATTAACTATGGTAATAGTTCATTTCCATTGTTGTATCAGATTAACATTATTCATATGACAGAATCGGGTGGTCCTTAACTTTGCTTTCAGTCTCATTAAAATCAGATCTTAGTTCTCGCTACCGCTAAACAAAGATCTGAGGGCATCCCATTACGGGTCACGTCAGAACAACCTTTCATCTGACCAATCAGAGCATCGCTTACCAGATTGTAAAAGTGACAGTCGGAATGAGATTTCTAATCATGCAACCTCGGAAACTTTAACTCCGAACGATGGTTACGGGTTTAACGACTGAATCCATACAATCTAGACCATCTATTAGCCATTCCAGAATGTTCTTTTGTTCAGGTTTCAATTTTTTATCGAGAATTTGTCAAAATATGTTTTGAAGCGTAGTCGCCGATTTGAAATTAGTGTCGTAAAGCACAAGAAAGCTTCCTTCTGATTGGTCATTCCATTGGTCGGTTAAAGTTCGCGCAAGGGCGGTCTGACGTGACCCGTAATGGGATGTCCTCAGATCTTTGTTTAGCGGTAGCGAGAACTAAGATCTGATTTTAATGAGATTGCTTTGCTTAAGAAGTATACATTGGGAATCTTTTGAGCTTGACAATAAATTATGTACTTCAGAGTATAGATTAAACCAAACAATCACTTACTGGTAACTCCTCTTGAATGTGAAATAACCAATACAAACATTAACCCCAACCCACGGAATAGCAAAACACTTGCCATGCACACATACATTGTTCAGTAACAAGGCAATTCAGATCAACTTAACCTCCTCACAAAATATGCAATAGGCCTTTTTATACCACTTTGGATCTTTCATCAAGGAACTCCAATATCACATTTTCTACCACAGCAATAATGAAAATATAAACTCCCCTTTAGGAATACAGTGGGTTGTTTGTCAAAATACACATGAAAACAAGAAGAAACTAAAGATCGATACTTCATCCCATTTATCCAACCCTGGATTTCCTGGTGTATATACAAATATAACCATCCCTGACACCAGCATAACGTGGCTAGTCCCTCACAATCCACATCCACACGTTCTGGTAAAACTGTCTGCAAAGGGAGGTAACTCACTTAACTGTTCTCATACAAGCTACATAATTATTGCGCAGGTGTTGGACTCAGGACAGATGAAGTAGGGTAAAGAGCTTTGGTTTCACGAGACTGGTGAATACATATTGCGTATTCGGACTTAAGTCTGTGGCAAATGTCAATACCAAAATGAAATGATAAACTACCCAATTCCTGTTATTATTGTTATAACTAATGTTATGACTGTGTAGAGGTATTTCACCAAGATAATGGGACCCATAACGTGGAAGAGGATTTGATGCTTAGTGTTATTATTACTGCATTGAATTATACCTCTGAAAATGAGTTTGAAAAATCCCAATTTTTGACAAAATAATGATTATTCCCCAATTTGCCTGCGAAGAGCGCTGAGATTGAACTCCTACATAAATCCTGACATCAGTTCAGTAGTGTATTACTATAGCATAATGGCTGCATCTACAGCGATACAGGCACTTAAGTCACAAGGCCCCAGACAGCTACCCAAAACATCACATTCATAGATTATTGCAAAGATTTCTACATTAAATTATACACATACATTTTTTTATATTTTTGCAACACTTCCTAATATTATTTCAAGCTTCCAAACAAACACAAATAATTGAAAAACAACATTTTGGTCCCTCTTCTTGCCCAAGTATTCCTAAATACAACTAGGAGACATCTTGGCTCAACTTGAGGTGATGAATAGAGCACATTGATATCTTAACTTAAGTGCTGTTATTCAGCACTCTGAAACAGAAACTTTAGACCGACTTGTATTAAGAGTAACAGCTGACTCTAAGTTATAAGTACATTAACATTATCTGTAATAGCACTTCATGCATTTTCAAAGTTTACAACATGTGCAGGTGCTAATGGTGCAGATCTTATCTACATAGATAACGTGCTTATATTGCCTTAAACCTGGTCCTATGTACATACACGTAAAACATCTCACAAAACAGACAGAACAGAAGATGATGTTGGTCATTGAATGATGAGATCAATACGGGAATAGAGGGACTGCATTGAAATACGACCATGTGATAACAAATATGGAAGAGAGAGAGTCAGATAATACAACAGTTTCACCATCAGAAAGACCTCTATCACAGAAAGTCTACAGCTGATAGGCTATACAGTTTTGTTTCCACTGCAGACTTTGTAACATGAAACCTGTTTGTTCCTCACAATTTCCAGCACTTATGATTTTAGTCAAGAGTTATCTCCCTGTTGTGTGAAGAGTTATCTCCCTGTTTTCAATGGCCCCCCAAACATTTCCTGGGAGGCGTAAGTCATGTAGAGGAAACCATCTTCGTCCTTTTCGTCGCGGTAGATCTCTGCCATTGTGGATGACATGCTGGAAATGCTTTTGTTGTTGATGATCAGATAAAATGCTTGGTTTGCGTTCAAGGACATCCTGTTCCTGAAGACAAGAAACATTTTTAAATATTGAGTGAGTGAGTGAGTGAGTGAGTATGATTTTACGACGCTTTTAGCAATATTCCAGCAATATCACGGCGGGGTACACCAGAAAAGGGCTTCACACATTGTACCCATGTTAAATATTGACCGGAGATATACTGCTGCAGCAGGTCCAAGGCAGGGGACAAGGGCTTCACAAGTATGAATAGACTTGAACATAGGTCCTACATGCATGTACACTAAACTCTAGGCTATCCCACAACAGCTCAAAAGAATCAAAACACACTTACCACTAAAATTCTATATTAAACTAACATGACCATGACAAACCAAAACCAAATCAAAGATGGAACTTCAGACAAATTTTAAGCAGCTAAAATGGTCCATCGCGAAATAACTGACATAATCAAAATGTAATGATTTCCATCTTTTCGTGTAATCGTATCATGTAAGTCAAACAAGTTACCATTGATGTAATTTGATTAGCTGTCTTAGGTCACATGCTTGAATTCGACCAATCACGATCCTTATAGCAGATTACGGCAAAAAAGCATCATTAGAAACCAATTTCTATCCAATAAAAACGAATGTTACAACTACGAAAATACCCCTGGCGAGGATATATGTGTCAGCTTACAGTGTTATTAAAAACAAACTTGATAAGTTTTAAATCAATTATAAAAATAACTATCATATGTATCATATGTATCATGTGTATAAGTAGTAGGATTGGACCTTTCAAATGGTGTATGACATGCAATAGCAAAGATGTACCACAAGCTGATATTTTCCTTGATAAATGTAGGCTTCATCCATCACTGTGATTATAATCTGGGTCAATACAGTAATAAATGATTACCATACATTACCACAAATTCACACAAACCTTATACAACATTCTACCTTAAGTTTACAGGTAAGTACACTGATATTTTGACTGATATTTTGACTAAACTTGATATTTCTCTCTCAACCAGCCAAGATTTCACCTCAAGTGAAAATAGGAGTTTTGTTACTGATCATTGCAGGGTGCATTTTCTCTAAATACTCTTAACTCCCAAATTGGATGTGTGTATGATACATATGAGTGGAAAATAAACAAGGACATAAGGTCTCCATTCACAGGAATACTTCAGGCATGTTAGCCATAAACAGCACAGAGAGGACTAACGTCAACCTACCTGATGATGGTGACGAACTGTGACATGGTGAGCTCCTGTGGTACGAGGAACTTGGTCTTGTCCAGCACGGGCAGCTGGTTCTCCTTGTGGTACCTCTCCACGATCACCTGCAGTAGATACACCCCTGTCATAAACACCAATAGCTGACACCGACCTTACCTCTCCATAATCATCTGCAGTAGATACACCCCTGTCATAAACACCATTAGATGACCTTGACCTTACCTCTCTATGATCACCTGCAGTAGATACACCCCTGTCATAAACACCAATAACTGACACTGACCTTACCTCTATACAATCACCTGTAGTAGATACACCCGTCATAAACACCAATAGCTGACACTGACCTTACCTCTCCACGATCACCTGCAGTAGATACACCCCTGTTATAAACACCATTAGATGACCTTGACCTTACCTCTCTATGATCACCTGCAGTAGATACACCCCTGTCATAAACACCAATAGCTGACCTTGACGTTACCTCTCCATAATCACCTGCAGTAGATACACCCCTGTCATAAACACCAATAGCTGACACCGACCTTACCACTCCAATATCTACTGGAGACATATCTGTCATAAACACCAATAGCTGACACCGACCTCTCAAATATCTACCTGAGACATATCTGTCACAAACACCAATAGCTGACACTGACCTTTCCTCTCCAATATCTACTGGAGACATATCTGTCACAAACACCAATAGCTGACACCGACCCTACCTCTACAATATCTACTGGAGACATATCTGTCACAAATACTAATAGCTGACACTGACCTTACCTCTCCAATATCTACTGGAGACATATCTGTCATAACACCAATAGCTGACACTGACCTCTCCAATATCTACTGGAGACATATCTGTCACAAACACCAATAGCTGACACTGACCTTACCTCTCCAATATCTACTGGAGACATATCTGTCATAACACCAATAGCTGACACTGACCTCTCCAATATCTACTGGAGACATATCTGTCACAAACACCAATAGCTGACACTGACCTTACCTCTCCAATATCTACTGGAGACATATCTGTCATAACACCAATAGCTGACACTGACCTCTCCAATACCTACTTGGGACATATCTGTCACAAACACCAATAGCTGACACTGACCTTACCTCTCCAATATCTACTGGAGACATATCTGTCATAACCCTAATAGCTGACACTGACCTCTCCAATACCTACTTGGGACATATCTGTCACAAACACCAATAGCTGACACTGACCTTACCTCTCCAATATCTACTGGAGACATATCTGTCATAACACCAATAGCTGACACTGACCTCTCCAATACCTACTTGGGACATATCTGTCATAAACACCAATAGATGACACTGGTCTTAAGGACCTGCATCCTAATCAAACAATTTCATCATCATTTGCCAGAGTTTGCATATAATGACCTCAAAATGTAGACATTCACACATATCGTGATGGCCCCGGATGATGTTACAATGGTGATGAGTTAGTATTGCCAGGCAACTTACAGGTATCTTGGTGGGGAACTTGAGTCGGATCCCTTCCACCTCTTCCTTTCTGGTGGCTGCAAAGTGAAACACACCAGTGTATAACAGTGATATATATACATCAGAAAATGTATTACGGCTATGGAATAACATTAAACAGGTCACATATACCACGGCACAGAGTTGTTTATCAACCTTAGCCAAAGCTATTTATGACCATCATGTCAACAGTACACAAGCGCACTTCTCAATATGATGAAAGTCGGGACCTCACATTCCTAAACACTTAGTTCAGGGCAAGCTGGGAAATCAGACACTGTTTTCTTAAATTCATTAGTTTCTGTCAAATGGTCAAGTAATAATGTTTATAATTGCCCACAATGTTTACTGAAACATTCATTATCTTAATAAACGATGGGTGCATGTTGACAAATGCTGGCATCAAGCACCACAACAGTTAGAAGATTAATCTGAAGCTGAACAGGTACTCAACCTTTCAATTAGGCTCACTCTTCACTAAAAGCCTCTTTCCACAGAAACATGGCTAATGTTAACTTATCACTCATGTTTTCCAGGTAGTTCATCCTATCTACAGTGCTGTTGGAAATGATGCATTATCAGTCAGTAGTGCATGCAGTCCTGATGCACTTACATTTCCCCACAGCATCCCTGACACAACGTCCCTGACACAACGTCCCTGACACAACGTCCCTGACACAGCGTCCCTGACACAACGTCCCTGACACAACGTCCCTGACACAACATCCCTGACACAACGTCCCTTACACAACATCCCTGATCCTGCCTCGACAAGGGCAGAAAGTAGACCAGGCAGGGTCAGGAGTGTCAGCATGACTAGTATTCTGCTACCCGACCTCAGCTAAACCCAGACAAGCCCTGGCCACTTATACCGGTATAACTGACAAAAGGGAGCACTTATTTAAACCCTACACAATGAGTTAAATGTGTTTCCAGCAATCGAGCAGTAGTGAACAAACGTTGATATAAAAACGTTTTTGGTAACAGTTTAATACTAGGCAATTAAATACCCCTTCTACACTACTGTATTCTGTAAGTATGTGTATCCCACAAGAAACGATGGAGCGTCATGTAAATGTTCGGTCTTACATGGGAGCACTTACATTACTTACCATGCTTACAGATTGGTCTGGAATTTAGCCAGAAGGTGCTTAATACAGCAATTACGGTAGGTCACATGAGATCACGAGAGACAGACATCGGGGATATAAAGTCATCACATTGTGTACAGACAGGGCATTTTAATTATTAAATGACCTTATCATCAATATATTTAACCTTTTCACCATGCTTATGAACATGATAAATATGAAAGGAGACATTAACGTGTGATTAATCACACACTAAATCCAGTAATGCTGTGTGGTGCATACTGATTAGTCAGGACGTATCACACTGTGTATGAGTGAGTGAGTTTGGGAGAGTGTGGGTGGGTGAGTGAGTGAGTGAGTATGGTTTTACGCCACTTTTAGCAATATTCCGGCAATATCACGCCGGGGGGACACCAGAAATGGGCTTCACACATTGTACCCATGTTGGGAATCGAACCCGGGTCTTCGGCGTGACGAGCGAACGCTTTAACCACTGGGCTACCCGACCGCCCCTCTAAACCAGAACCCCCATGGAGTGCTTCAATTACTGACTACTAACAGACTGACAACAACATATATCATGTGCAGATTCCATATTGGGTTAAGATATCCAACAAAAGTCACAAGCTATTATCAGAATACTATACACAATACCATATACAACACTATCGATATTCTATTGTCAGTGATCTCTAACATCTGGCGCTACTTCCTGACTATATTGTACGGCACTGAGGTTGTTTTTCCTGCCTTTGTTATTCTAATATTGACCATGATTGACTCTAGAATACATTACTTTCAGCATTTCAACTTTATCCAACCATGCAGTAATAGATGATACATGTCGCAGCTGGACTGTCAGTATCGTCAGTGTGACTCTCGGACATTCAATGATATCTATGTCGGTGAGAAATTGGGGTGTACCGTGACGATGACATGATGAGCTTTGAGGCAGCTAGCCATGTGTGATCAGTGCATGCAAACCAATAATTGGTGATTGGAAAGAGTGAGTGAGTAAGTATGGTTTAACGCTGCTTTTAGCAATATTCCAGCAATATCACACCGGGGGACACCAGAAATGGGCTTCACACATTGTACCCATGTTGGGAATCAAACCTGGGTCTTCGGCATGACGAGCGAACGCTTCAACCACTAGACTACCGACCACCCCAGTGATTGGAAAGAACCTTTGTGCTTACTAGGGGGCACGGGTGGCCCAGTCGTCTAGGGCGCCGCGATTCGCTGTGCAGAGTTGCGTCCCTTGCGTTTCTAGGTTTGTCAGCACCATACCCGTGCTCGTGGGTTTCGCCGAAGGGGTAAACGTCTGAGACCTGCATCACTTCAGGCTTTCCTCCCACATTAAGCTGACACGCCGCGATATAACTGGAATACTGTTAAAAGCGGCGTTAATCCCAACTCACTCACTCACTCCCTCAGTGCTTACTATGCACTATATTAACCTAAAGAAACTCAGATTCCAGCTAGGAGAAATGACAAAGTAAACAGTTCAACCACTGCAGAGGTTTAGATAAGCCTTTGGTTACTTGGGTATTTTACTCAGGGGTATGGTTTTAATTGCGTATCCACAGTTTTTAGTGGCTATTCAAAATTTATTTACTCACCTGTTTCTTCACATTTGAGTATTTCAAATTAAAACCTGTTTCATAACAATCCCTGTAAATCATTTAAAACTATGTGAATAGTAGTATACCAATCTGCGTCTGCTTGTGGCTCCCTCTCTGGGAAGCCATTTTTGTTTGCAAAACTAAGCATTGTAAGAAAGGCGGGTTGTTTTTTTATTAAATCGCTATTGCCAGTGCTATTGTTTAATTACCAATCAGCGACTGTTTAAGATACAACATGTACATTGACTAGGCATGATGTGCTTTTCAATTGGCATCTATCAGTATGATTGTCGCACAAGGTTTTTCCGAATTTAACTGTCAATAAGTGAATTTGGCGATCAGCTGATACACAATCGTTTTATCTATTATTTGTAATATATGCATAATTATTATTTCAATAGTGTATTTATAGTTTTTGCTGTGTATTTGATATGCTAGGATTTGATTTTTCTGCATTTTTCAGTTTATTTAACGGGTATTTTACGCAAACACCCAGCTTATCTCGAGGTCTGATAACTGAATAGCTGATGATCAGTGTTCTGCCTAGAAGCTGAACAAGTGGGGACAGGGACCCAATGGAGTCATTTTCAAAAGTTATGGGGCCACTCTCTGAGAGATCATATTAAAACTTCAAACCCGATATGCAGGTTATTCATGCAGGATCACTGTCCACTAGTAATGTTAGCGATACACAAAATGTGTTTCCTTAATATTACTTGTGGTCAGCAATTATCAGACACCTGGGTCATTTGAAGCAGAAAAATCTTTGGCATTATCGGAAGGCAGTTTAGGCTGAGTTGAAAATGAAAAGAAATTTAAAATTGATCTATCTCTGAACCTTATCGGATTCTCTGCTCCTGGATTTTGCTGTTTAATCATGGTTTATTAGGTATTGAAAAGAACCAATTAAAAAACGTCCATTGCATGTCCATATGACTTCTATATTTGCAAAAATGTGTAAGAGTGATTCTGATTAGACCATTTGTGACTTTACGCAAATGAAAGGCACTGATAGTAAAGTGAGACACACAACGGAAATCAGGGCGTTTACATTCAATAATATAAACAGCTGTCCAGGTGCTGTAAAATATTTTTGACATGTTTTTCGACATGAAAAGCACCTGATGTCCCACTGAGCCAAAATATAATGCACCAATCAAGAAATGCAGGAATCCCGCAAGGTAGCTTCCTCGGCAGAACACCACATGGTTAAGGTCAAACTGACACATATGTTCACAGATGAACTAACCCCAAATTTTTAAGAACGTGCAAAAATTGCTGTTCAAATAAAAATAAACGTCAAACACCTTAACATAATTTGAGTGTACTTTTGTTGAAAAGACTATCACAAGCACATACCTTGATCTGGTTTACCAGAAACATCCTAAATCCAAAGCAAGTAAATTATGATAAGCATGGTAGACTAATTATTAGTTTCTTGTTTTATTTGTTGAAATATTTTATTAGCTCGGGGCAAAAGAAAAGATAAATAGATGTCAGGGTTGACACCAGTCAGTTTGAGCATGTTGAGGACTTGATGTTAATTTCTAGTAAATAAACAGCTTCATAAACTTCATGCCATCTTATAAAAACATTTATTACATATCATGCACAAGCAGAATCAATACAATGTAATATTCTAATGATCCCTTGTCAACTGATGTTACATACCGTATTCGACGTAATAAGCGCTCAGGGCGCTCTCAAAATTAGAAAGAGGGGGCTCTTATTAGAATATTATTTTGGTGAGAAAAAAACAGAGTTGAAAGATAAATTTCATGGTTATGCTGACAGCCTGAAATGTTAATGTACGACAGATATATTTTTCCAGAATTGTATTGCTCATAATTAAGGGTGCATACAGCACACGAGTGCGTATTATACGCGAATAAATTAGTCTTGTGTACATTGATAAATCGGAAGGGGTGCTAATTGGGATTGTTCACCAGCCAATATATCAGAAAATGTCACCGTGGGCGCTTATTAGAGCGGGGCGCTTATTACGTCGAATACAATATCACATGCTTATTGACCCATCTGAACTGAAGCTACAAGTTAATCAACATCATGAGGATGACAATGATCCCATTTCATTGTCAAGGGCAAACTTTATCACTGACAATGTAATCTAATCACAAACAAGTCCATGGTCTATGCTGATGTAGTTCAATGTCAGATAAGATACACACTTTCCCAGCCCTCCTCTCACTGACAAGACAATGTCAGAAGCATGCCATCAAATGCTAAAGTGAGTGACTGAATATGGTTTCACGCCGCTTTTAGCAATAGTGAGTGAGTGTGTTCACTTTCACACCGCCTTGA